CTCGGATCTTGGACCTCTGATTCAAGTCCTGTAAGGTGTGTGTGTTCTGCACCTCACTATCAGGGCGTTTTCACACTCTGTGTCCACTAGATGGGGCTACTGAGCCTTGCAAAGGGTTCCCGCATGGTGTTTAATTGTTGTTCTTTCTTTATTTATTTATTTCTGATACTCCACCTCCTTTTGCCGGACCCCTCCCCACTCTGTGTGTTCAGAAAAGGGCTGAGGCGTGTCTTCTACAAACCTTGTCTTTTAGTTGAGACATCAACGTTGTGCCCTGCCCCGCCCTGCCCAGCAGGTGTCCAGTCTCTCCCACTGCCGGGAGTGAACTCCTCAGGAGAGGGGCCCTCAGCACCCAGTTCCTCTTTGACTCCCCCCAGCAGGGTTCGGCCCTCCGGGAAAGCTCTCTATTCACTTCAATGTAGCTCGAGAGCACTCTGGGCTCCCCTCTCCCCACCATTAATCATTTAGGGGTTCTTCCAAACTGAGGCCCCCAGAGATGGAATCTGCCTCCCGGAAACAGGGAGTTTACCTGGGGCCGACGCCCAGGGTGTGGTGGAGAGACAATCTGGGCGGGCTCCTCTTGCCTGCCTCCCGACACTGGCCCGGGGCTCCCCATGCTACCAGCCCTGTCAGAGATCCGCGGGGAGAGTGGGATTGTATGCCATTCCACAGGCCCCGGGGTGCCCTGCGTCGAGGTAAGCAAATGGCATGTCTCAGTGCGGAGCCACGCCAAGCAGAGATGGATGGCCTGCCTGCACTAAGCCGGACGTCTCTGCCCCCACCCGAGAAAATGGAGGCAGCTCTGTTGTGGGCGCCTAGCCTGGTGTGGTAGGCGGGACCCAGGCGGGCGGGGAGCAGTCGGGCTTCGCCCCGCAAGTGGGGCTGGGCTGGGGGAGACTCACAGAGCTCACAGAGTTGGGCAGATCTCGCAGAGTTGGGCCGGTCTGGTGCGTTCCACTCTGTTTCTGTGTCATCTCAGCTGATTTACTTGGCCTTTGTTGTCTCGGGCTGCTTGCTTGTACCCGCAGCAGGGCTTGGGCGCTCTCAGGAGTCTTTTGTGTCGGCCCTAAAACCTCGAACCTGTTGTTGCTTGTTTGTCGTTGTAGG